AAGTTATATAAAAAGAGAATTTGACATGAAAAGCTTTAGAAAAAATTTTTTTTGTCTTACCCTATACTTCGAACACTTAGAGAATGAGATTATTATTGATCTATCTATTTATATAGAAAAAGTTCTACAATGATTTTATATGGATAAGGCGCATCATTGATTAGTTTAATGATAGTTCGTTCACTTAATATCCAAAAAGATCATTTCGGTCTCAAAAAGATAACAAAAAGCTTTTTTATTCTAAAGTATTATACTTTAATGCAATTGGTGCATATCACTATTTTGTTAATAATACTTGACTCGATATACCATTTTTTTTATAAATTTATTAGTAAAATATATTTCTTTTCCTACGCAAAAACATTAAAATAAAATTAAAGACATATCCCATTATCTTTGAGGAATAAATGATGTGAGTTTATTTTATCGAAATAAATCAAACTTCGGGATTAATTAGTTATGTAGATGTAGATTATTTATCCGATCTATAGAAAGCTCGATCGAAATTGGTTATATATTTACACATGATAATACAAATATATCATGATGTTTTATAAAACAAACTATAAGCTGCTACATCTTTAAATCATTTAGAAATACTAGCAATTCATAAGGGAAATTGAGTATGTATTTGGCTAAAATCAATGATTCATGATATTTAAGAGACATGCGATTTATCCACAAGCAAAAAAAATTTCAATAATACAATATGAAAATAATACTGCTTGCATAACTCAATTAAAAAAACAATGCATTAAAGGTGAAACACTAAAACATATATCACTAAAATTATTTTTCACACATGATCTTCAACATAATGATAATATTAACGTTCAACAAATTTGATCAAGTGACAATCCAATAAATTTATTCACTAAGATATTAACTACAATAACTTTTGAGAAAATAGTTCGCAAGATTGAAATGCATCATCTTAGAGATATTAAATAATATTTTCAACAAAGTGATACCAATATAAAGATTAATATGTACAACAAATATTGTATTCTTTTTTTTTATTATTATGATTTTTTCCATTAAGTTTTTTCTTAGTGAAGTTTTAATAAGACATATTTCTTATATGATAAACATTTAATGAGGAATGTTATGAAATAATAAATGTCTATAATTGTTCTTATTCTTCATAACTATTTGTATATTTATAATATAAAATTCCGTCAAGCATTCACTTATAAAGAAGTGTGTTAAGTCAAATATATATATATAAACTAACATTTCTATTATCTTTTTTCTTCAACTCTTTTAATATTATCATTATTCTTAACAACAAAATTTCAATTATTGTTATTTTGTAAAACAGTGTTAGGAATTATATTTCTATTTAGTCTAGCTTATTTTTTAACTTAAGTTGACCATTAAGTTTAATATTCTCTATAAATAGAGAACTACCATTAAAACTTTTTGGCATGTGTCATTACTCATATTTTTCTCTACAAATTTATCTTCAAGCTCTATACTTTATTTTTAACTCTATTTTTTTTTAATATATATAAAAAAGAAGTGTATTGTTTATCATTTGTGTTACCGTTTTTCTTAGCTTAATTTTTAGTTTTCTTGGGTTCTTCCTACTATTTTTTTCATTAGGTTTTTATGTCTTAAAACTTTAACTATTTGCTTGATTTTAAACCTTTCGCTTTACTTAGATTTATTAATATTTTACAATAATAACACCAATCGTCACAGCAAAACTCTAGTTAGAGAAACTAGTTTTTCTTCCACCCCCACCCACCCACCCCCCCCCCCCCCCCCCCCCCCCCCCCAAAAAAAAAACAAAATAGACCCTAAAACTCTAACCTGTTATTTGATTTTTTAAATCCATCTCACTATTTATTGTTTTGACTAGACATATTGTAAAATTTACATTAGTTTAATTGTGAAATAGCTGTCACCTCCTTATAGATTAAGTCCTTAAGTATTATTTTCGGCTGTTGTAAGGAAGAGAATTTTATTGAAAACACATCCTTAAAATTTGGATGATGCTACAGAAACGTGCAAAAACATGAAGACGGGAAAAGATAGATTTACCCCCAAGCTATCATACCTGTTCCAGTTTGATCCCCTTTAGTTACTTATTCAGATTTTGATCAATCAGATTTATGGTTAATAAATTATTAAATAGAAATTTAAGCATAATTTGAGTAGAAGATTTGGACTCGTAAAATATTTTTACACTGAAATTCATATAAAAAATTAAAGGAATTTCGATATTTTTTATATCTTAAATTTGAATCAAATTTTAAGTCAAATAGTAATCTTATAACTTACCATTCATCAGTGTTTTTAATTAAGTCTTTAATGTATTATATATTTCTCAATTGACTTTTCTCTTAAAATTTTTTTATTTTATTATGATAAAAAACGACAAATTTTACAAAAAAAAAAAAAAAATTAATGAATCCTATACATAGAGATACAGACTCAGCTCAAGAGCGTCTAGCGTTGGGTAAATAAATCATAAACATTGATTGTTTAGGGACTCATTTGAGAATTAATAGAAATTTGGGGATCTAATCAAAGGTTTTCTTAAGAAAATTAATTCACCGCTTGAGAAATAAATATCTATATATTGCCCCTTGTTCATACGAAATTTTCATTTTCATTTCAGCAGCCCGGAATTCTTTCTTTTCTCCCTTGAAAATAAAAAATAAAAAACCCTTTGAGTCTCATATTGAGTGAAAAATGGTGTAAATAATTATAAAAAAAAAAAAAAAAACAAAGAACAAGAAGCCCAGGTTTTGTTCATCTTCTTTTTCATTAAGGTATTTTCCATTTGTAATCTTCCATTTTTTTTTCTTTTATTTTACTAATATCTGATAAATTAATATTTATCTGCTTTATTTATATCTTGTTAGAGATTAGGGATACATGCTTGATGTTTTTTTTTTTTTTTTTTTTTTTTTTTTTCCCGTATTTAGTTTGTTTTCTTGCATATATATTTTGATTGTCAGTTTCAAAATTTACGTAGAGACTTCAATTTTCTTTGCCAAAGGAAATGGAAGCTAAAGCCCCAGCTGATAACACCCCAGACCCAGATGCCAAAACCATCAAAGGAGACGGAAAGAAAGGTTTTGTTGATGATTTAGCTTCCGCCTTTGATGGTAATGATCTTGAGGATTCTGAGATTAATGGAGCGTCTTCTTTGTTAAAGATGCAAGAATGTGGAAGTTTTAAAGGGTTAGAGTCTGTTTTGGATTATCTTGACAAGAATGAGAAAAGGGGGTTTGGTGATGATGGTTTGAAAACTGATTTACTAGATGCAATTGAGAGGAATACTGATTATGATAGGGAAGGAGATGTGGATATAGCAGATGATCAATTTAGGGTTGGTGATTTTGTGTGGGGTAAGATTAGGAGTCATCCGTGGTGGCCAGGGCGGATTTATGATCCTTTGGATGCATCTGATTACGCAAAGAAAGTTAAACCAAGGGATAAAATTCTTGTAGCTTATTTTGGAGATAGCACATTTGCTTGGTGCAATCCATCTCAGTTGAGCCCTTTTGAGGAGAATTTTGTGGAAATGTTCAAGCAGAGTAACTCGAAAAGCTTTGTAAATGCAGTCAAGGAGGCAGTGGATGAGGTCGGTAGACTTGTGGATTTGAAGATGACTTGTTCTTGTGTGCCACAGGAGAATTTGATTGGGTTTGGTAGATCATTGGCAGTGAATGCCGGAATTAAGGAAGGGCTTCTTGTGCCTGAAGGTGGAATTGAGAAGTTCTCAACTGCTTTGTTTGAACCAGCAGCATTCCTTCCTGTATTGAAAGATGTTGCTCAGTTTGTCAATACTGCCAATATGCTGGAAGTCGCAGTATTAAAGAACTGGCTGTCAGCTTTTTATCGTGCAAAAGGAGGCTACCAGTTGCCTACGTACCATGAGCCACGGCTAATTCCAGGCCTTGAGGATGACACCAGAAATTGGATGATGGACTTGACTGATTACAGTGGTGGAGTAGAAGCCAGAATTCAGGGTCCAGCTGAAGAAGACTGGCTTTCTTCGCCAACAGGCTGTAAATTTGGCCAAACCATCCAGGGCCCTTTGCAGAAGTGTCAAGGTATGTCAGAGGAGAGACAGTATCAGAGAAGGAAACAGAAAAGCATTGCTGAAATTTTGCGAGGGGACACAGATGCTGAGGCTGAAAACAAGGAGGAGGATATGACTAAAGAAGAAACAGAGTCAAGGAAACAAACATCTTCTGCCAAGAGAAAGACAGGGAAAGTTAAAGGTAAAGTTATGGGACAGGAGATGGCTGCTAGGATCCAAAATATCGTGGGGGTTGGGGCTAAAGACAAAGCAAGCTCAGGCAAACCTGCATCTTCATCAGGGAGGAAGAGAAGGAAAGGCAGGGACGAAGCTGATGGAGAAGGAAAGAATAAGGTGGGGCCTGTGGCTAAAGCAGGTTCATACTTGGAACTTGCATCTTCATATGGGAAGGAAAATAGGAAAGCCAGTGATGAAGCAGATTCTGAGGAAAAAAGTAAAGTGGGGGATGTGGGTGAAGCAGGAAAAAACTTGGGAAAACAGGAATCTACATCTGGCAGGAGGAAGAGGAAAGTCAGTGATAAAGCTGATGCTGATTGCAAAAATGTGGTTGGAAATGTGGCTAAAGTAGGAACAAACTTAGAAAAATCTGCTTCTTCATCTGGGAGGAAGAAGAGGAAAGTCAGTGATGAAGCCCATGCTGATGGTGGCAAAGATTTGGTTTCTAGTTCGAGGAGGAAAGAGACAACACTTTCTGAGTCTTTTGTTGCATCTGATCTTGAAGTTGGTGGTGGTGGGGTCAAGAAGGGAAGTTCATCTGTTGAAAATGATGATGCTGAGGGCAATGTAGAAACAAGGGATGACACTCTGTCTGCTGAGAAGAAGATGGATGGGGGGCTTAAGTAATTTAAGGGATGGTGATGAGTCTAAAGATCGAATTGAGAAAGGTTCATTCTCAAGGGAAAGAAGACAGAGCAAGTACTTGTCTCCTCCCTACACAAATATGAATAGAGGGCAAAGAAAGAAAGAGTTGGAAGCAGAATCCCAGAAAATTTCCAGTAGCGTTCCATCAGGGGAACGAATGAGCAAGGTTGCAGGCCATCTTATCTGCGAGAAATTTCAGATGAAAGGGTATGAAGAAACTGGTGGAGAGCACAAGACATCAGACAGTGCTGGTCCTCAGGCACCAAAACAAGTTCAGAACAACGTCATTGATGTAATGAAGGTCAAGGCACCTGTCAATCAAATGCTATCTCATGTCCAGTCTTTAGCTCTTAATCCGACATATCTGAAGGAAGGCGACTCTCTTGATATGGTTGAAGAATTTGTTTCTGCATTCAGAAGTTCAATCTATAGCAATGGATCCAACTACAAAATGTACAACCAAGATAAATCAGGAAGAACAAAGAGAAAGTCCCAAGAATCTGAACCTGGGACGTCAGGGGTGGAGCAAAATCTGGCTGCCCAAAGTTCTGCTGATTATAGATCAAGGTCAAAAAAGCCCAAAAGGAATGAAGAAGCAAAATTGGAAAAGCTCAAACTCAGGCAAGCTGCCAGGGCAACAGATGTGAAGACAAATGACAAGGAATCAGATGGGAAAGCTCCGGCTGCTGCTGCCCTTTATGTGACATTTTCCCCAGGATCTTCTCTTCCTTCAAAGAATGATCTTATTATAATATATGAAAAATTCGGGCCTCTGAACGAAGGGGAAACAGAGATGTTCTACGATCATCGCTGTGCAAGAATTGTCTTTCTAAGGAGCTCCAAAGCTGAGGAAGCCTTCAACGATTCCCAGCATGCAAGTCCTTTTGGAGCAGCAAGTGTGACTTTCCAGCTTCGATATTTCTCAGCTGAAACTAAGGCCAACAAACTCAGAGAGATACCAAGCTCAAAATCTTCTCCTCTAGCCAAGGACGAAACCAACATGGACAAGGAATTTGCTTCACAATCATCTGCTAATGATGTATCACAACTGAACTATATAAAGCAGAAACTTGAGATGATGAACTCGATGCTGGAAATGTCAGATGGAGCGGATATGAAATCCAAATTAGAAAGGGAAATTAAAGGCCTATTGGAGAAGGTAAGCACAATGGTTGGATCTTGATTGTAGAATGTTATTCTCTCTTTAGATCCTTGTGTTCTTGTAGGAGTAAATCTTCCTTGTAATGATGTCCATAATACAGGTTAGGAGCTTATGCTATAAAGATTACAGAAAGGGTGTTCGGGTTCATGTAACTAGTTGTTATCTCACCATCATAGAGACAATTAACATTTTGGATTTTAGTCTGTTTCTTTTCCTAGTAGTGATATAGCATAGAGCTTATATTGGAAGTGTTGGAATTGGAACTTAAAAGATCACAAAAATCAATATTAATTAACAAACAACAATAAACAATAAAAGATCAATATTATTGATCATATCCGTTGTAGATGGACCTCCGAGTTTAAAAATAGAGAAATGATTTAGTAATCATTTAGTATTAAAAGTTACTAGTAAATTAAAATGATTAGTCTGTTTAAAATTGTTAGGTAAGGGATTGGTTGTTTAGAGAAGATAAAAATTACTTTATCTGGTCTTACTTGAGCTAGGTTTGATTGTATGCAAATCGAAACATGATTTTTTATTTTTAATATAATGAAAGTTTGTCTATTTGGATGTGTTGGCCATTAAATAAAAAACTAGTCAATAGAAATAATTTGAGACTCGACTAGTTGGAAACTAAAAATAAAGTAAAAATGGATTAAACTTGATTAAATCATCGAATGGTTCGAAAGCACTTACACACGTAAAAGTATGACATGAAAATCACATAAAAACATTGAAGTGAAAATCTACAATTTTAATCAAAATACGTAAAATTCAAATCTACTTATTTTTTTTTTTTAAATGCATAGAATAAAAATTCACAATTTTGATTAAAAACACAAAATGAAAATCTGTATAAATGCACGAAATGAAATTCTATGATTTTACTTAAAATACATAAAATAAAAAATCATGGTCTTGATTAAAAACATAAAATAAAAACCCACATGAATGCATAAAATGAAAGCCCATGACTTTGATAAAAAAACATGAAGTGAAAATCCATGTATGAATGTTTGAAATGAAAGGCCATGATATATATATAAATTTTTCAAATACTTGAAATAAAAACCCATGTAAGGATGCAACTAGACATCATGAGATCATTTTTATAAAATTTTATCAATGAATAAAATCAAGTCAAAGACAATAACATAATTCATTCTCATAAAAACCATAAAAAGGAAAATCAAGTTTGAAGACAAAGAAACAAATCATTCTCATAAAATTTAAACAAAAAATCATGCGAAAGACAAAGGCATTTATCATTTTTGAAAAATTTGTCAATGAAAAATCATGTTGAAAACAAAACACAAATCATTGTCATTAAATTTGTTAACGAAAAATCACATTGATAACAATACAAATCAAATTTCCATATGATAGTCGACAAAACGAGGTCAAAGACGATGCAAAATACATTTTCAAAAAATCATCGATGAAATAAGTTGATGATGACACGTTTTTTACAAAAACCATCAACGAAACATGTCAAAGATGATGCAAATCAAATATTCATATAATTGTTTTACGAAACGGATCAAAGACGTCACAAATCAAAATTTCACATAATTATTGACAAAAAGACAAAGACGATCCAAATCACATTTTCACAAAATCGTTTACAAAACAAGTCAATGACAACACAAAACAAATTTCTACATAATCGTCAATGAAACAAATTGAAAACGATGCAACTCAAATTTTTACAAAAATAAGTCGAAAGTGACACAAATTATATTTCCACATAACTATCAATGAAATAGATCGAAAAAACACAAATCACATTTTTCCAAAATCATCAAAGAAATAAGTCAACGATGACACGGAACAAGTTTTTTTCACAAAAATCGTTGATGAAATAGATCTAATATAGCACAAATCACGTTTTAACAAAATCATCGACAAGACAAGTAGATGATGACACGAAACATTTTTTCACAAAAATTGCCAATGAAACAAGTTGAAGATTAAGTAACTTAAATTTTCACATAATCGCCAATAAAACAAGCGGAAGACAACGCAAATCGCTTTTTTCATAAAATCATCAAGGAAACAAGTCAACGACAACACAAAACATGCTTTTCACAACAATCGTTGACTAAATAGGTTGAAAATGATGCAAATCATATTATCACATAATCGTCGATAAAACAAGTGGACAACACAAAATACGTTTCTCACAAAAATCATCAACAATACGAGTCGAAGATGATGTAGCTCAATTTTTCACACATAAAAAACAACATAGCACAAATTTGTACAACTTTTATCAATGAAGAATCCAATCAAAGAAAACAACATGTATCATTTCATAAGTTCATCAATTGGCAAAAATCAAATGCAAAATGGTCAAATAAATCATTTTCCATACTTCTTCAAACAATGAACAAAAATAATATAAAGAAAGCCAAACAAGTCATTTCCATAAAAAAATCATCAAGTGAGTGAAACAAATCACAAATGAGAACAAGAAACATTTTTTCACATAAATTATCAATCAATCAAATAATAAATTAATAGCGACCATACAAAGCAAATTTGCACCTATCACATCAAAACAACCACATAACCAATTATCATGTAATACCTCAAACCATTACTAAATAAATTAAAAATATACTAAAGGTGTGAGAAAACTATTTCATGGGCATGGAATGATTGTAAAGAGTTTGATAGAATATTTGATGTATTTAGGATAATTTTTTGGTTACGAGTGAATATTTTATCTCATTTTTGGTGCATGAATTGTAACTTTTTATGTTAAATTTTTTTTTTGAGTATTTTAAAAGTCCTTAAAAAAATATTCTGTTTGCATATAATATTTGCTAGAGGGGTGCTAGATTATTTGATGCTATTGGATGAATTTCTAATGTTCAATGATTATTTTATTTAAACTTTTCGAGTGCATGAGTAGTGTTTTCTAAGTAAATTAATTATTTTATGTGTTTTAAAGGTGCAAGAAAATTATCCAATAGAAATAGAAAAATCATTGAGGAGGTGGAGGAATATTCCACAAACTTAGATAAATGTTTCTACATAAAAGAAATATTTTCTCTAGAAATAAGTGAATTTTTACACAAATTAATTAATTATAGGGCTTGAATAAGTATATAAAAATTATGTGAAAGGTGAATAAATTCTTATAGGAGGTGTTTGAATTTATTATGAAGAGAAATTAATTTTTGAAAAGGTATGGAATAAAAATTAAGTAGGGATCTAATTGCATAGAATTAAGGATCCAATTGCATAAAATTAAAAGCTTGAACTTTCAAATTAAACTAGCAATGAACTTTAGGAAGTAAAAATTTGTTAGAAAACCTTTTAAGGAAGAGCCTAAAGGAATCAATTAAATAATTGGACAACTTATGGAAGAGTAATTGAAAGAAAGTTTAATAAATTGAGGGACTAAAAATTAAATAATTTTAGGAGAGATTTTCTCTCGCTTTTTGGCACCACTTTCCCCTCAATAATTTGTATGTAATTAATGCATGCACAAATGGAGGGTTAAGGATTAAAGAGGATGGTTAGATGGAAGGATAAAAATTAAAGAAAGAATGAATGGTTAGAGATTAACACAAATGAAGGGATGAAATTAAAAGAAGGATATATTGAATCAAATTAAGGGTAGAGATGGAGTAAACCAAGGAAAAAGTCTAATTAATTCTACCTATAAATATGGGTGGTAGAGAAATGGAAAAATGTTAGAAAAATTGGAAAAGTTAGGAGAAACTCTTACAAAATTCCCATAGAATTCCACTCACACTACCACCCTACAACACCTAATTAAGTATAGAATTCAAGTTGGAAAATCAAAAATCACAAGGAGGAAAATTGAAAGATTAGGCCAAAACTTGGAGGACGAAGGAGGAGGAAGAAATTCTAAAGCAATTCAACTTTTAGGGTTTAATTAGAGCTATGTAGGTAAGATAATCTCACCTACACCACAAGTAAGTGGTATTAGATGTTAATTGTGATTTTGGAACCCATAATTGATGTTTAATTCAATTATTTTTGAAAATTAGGGTTATGGTTCTTAGTGAGAAAATTTTGGGAGAAATGAATTTGACTTGAAAATTCATGAAATTGATGTTAGAACATGTTAATTGAGCAAGAAATTATGTGTTAGAAACAATAATTTCTTAGGTTAAATTCTTGAGGAACATTCAGCCCATAATGAGAATTTTATGGTTTTTGATTCCTTGATTTGTTTAATGAACTATCACTTGATTATGCGTTAGTTAAGCATGAATTGATGATTCGAGCTTGAAAAATTTCATTAGGATTGAGAATTTTCCCTTGGTTACTTTAGTTATACATTCGGCCCAAAACTAAGAAAAATGAGGTTTTAATTTTTTTTATTTTTTTGATGAATTATTAGTTTATTAGTAGTTAATTAAGTATAAATTGGTGAACGAGTATGAGAAATTTCATTAAAATTAAAAAATTAATCTAGAGTACCCTAGGTAAGGTTTCGACCCATTAGGTCGAAATTAGGGGTTTTACATACTATTAGCTTATAAATACTTAATTAGTTAAATTCTTGATATTACGATGTAATTGAATAAATTAACATGGAGAATTAACGTTGAAATTAGAAGAAATTACCATGCCTAAGTTAAAGGTATTTTCGGCCACCTTGAGAAAAATTTAGGGTTTATGGTTTGGTTGTGTATATGGTTGTGATTATTGTTTATATGTTGTCATTGAATGTGAATTATGTGATGGTTATGGGTGGAAGTTGTGAATTAAATGATTGAAGAGTGTAATGCTTTATGTTGTTGATATGCCAATGTGTGGTTATGTAATGTTTATGATTAATGGTTTCTTGTTTAAATTAATTTGGCATGGCATTGCAAGGTATGGAAGTTATTATGGTATTGAGATTGTATTATCATGGCATAATTGCATATCATTCATGGCATGCATTTTATGGATTCTTGATGGTTATTCATTTATACTAAAATGAATACGTATGCCAAAATCATGGAAAAAGATTCAGTCATGAAAAAAAGGAT